ATCCCAACCGATCTTGCACGCTTTATCCTAAACAGTTTCCGTTCGTTTCTGATATCTCGTCTACACTTTATAAAATCCAAGGCGAAACTCTGACTTCTTTGGTTGTCATCGACTGGATGAGTAACCCCGAGTCGACCAGAAATTGCATCGACGTCCCCCAACAAGGATACATTGTTGTCTCGCGCGCTGTAAATCGATATGCCTTTCACACATTGAAACCGCTTACTTCTATAATTGCTGCCTTCTTCAACCCGTCTACCAATATACTTGTTGAAGACAGCAGACTACTTGCTCTTTCTGATTCTCTTCTCTGCTCTAACTTCGTAAAATCGATGTTCCCTCCGGCTTCATCGCCTGATCCACTGATTCTGTCATCATTGTCTTTCTCGTCTTCGCTTCTTGGCTCTTCCTCGGATTCCCAACACCCGTCTACACCAACACAGAACAACATTCCGTCGACGTCATTATGCGCTCCTCATCCTTCATGCAACACTTGTGCAACTGAAACGTCTCCGGCTTCCGTTGGCCGCCTTACACCCTCATATACCTCCGAGTCATCCATCCTTCACCCTGCCATCAATGAAATGTCTTCCGACTATACTGATTTGAACCGGGGTTTTGCAAATACATTTGCTGCTACAGTTTCTCGACGACTTCCAGAGCCTTCACATAACACTCAATGCGACAAAATGTCGTTGGACTACGTCACCTGCCCTGCGTCCCCCCTTACGTCTGCATCTTCTATGCCTTTGCCAGATCCCAATGATTTGTCTTCCGACAATGATGACTTAGATGAAATTTTCCCTTGTATAGTGGATTCCGAAGAATGTCTATATATAACTCTTCATGCCACAACATGATTATCAGATATACCTATTAATGAGTACGTTGATCTGCTGATGTCTAAATATGACATTGCCATTATTGCCAACTACTTTACATACAGCCATGGCATAGCGAAAAAGGACAATGCATATGTCCATCGACAAATCCGCAGATGTCTTCGAGAACTTCCGCTTTCAACTATCAAACAATTTTTCCTGCCTGTTCATTGTAACAATAATCATTGGACTCTAGGATTCCTTGACTTTGCAAATTTCCAAATTGTTTACTATGATAGTTTGCATTTCGCTGATGACGACTTTTTCAATACAATCAACCATTGGTTATCACGCCGCCATGATGATCTAAAAAAACTAGAAAATGCTCCTCGCCGAATTTTGAACGGTCCCTTCCAATGCAACACTGCAGACTGCGGTGTTTTTATGCTCATCATGATTCGTCACTTGTTATTAAACGACCCTTTTCAGCATATCTCCGATTTCTCACAAGCGGACATGCCATACTACAGAAAAGTTGTCCATAACGAACTCATCACTCGCGATTTACAGCCGGTAGTGCCACATCCTCATCTCTTATATCCTTGTAAGGTACCAACGCCTTTCATTGTTTCCCAACGTTTCCCTTTCCCCCCCACCATGCCGCTTTTGCAAATATCCTTCCATTTGCATGCGTCCCTGCCTTCTGAATCCTGTCTTTTTTGTGTTTTTGATTTCATGCCTTTATTAATCCACGCTTAAGCTTGCCAAATTGCCATGCTATACACAATGAGTGAAAATGGCCTTGCCAAAGCCGGCTCTGCTTCTCTACGTCATGCCCCCCTGTTCGCCTCCATGTTTTCTTCACATTCATAACGCTTCTGTCTATATGCATAGGCGTCTTCCTTCACACAAACCCTTCTTTCCATTATGATGCCCTCAACAATGTACACCGCTGCTGACAATTACATAACCACTGTTTTCGTATTTTGATGTTTGTCCACACGGGCACCTTGGTCTCTTCTCTTGTTTACCTGTGCAGGTATGTCACAATGCAATGCATTCCTATCAGGCCCGTGCAACAAATTCCTGCTATGTTCGAGCCGCTCATCATACCAGGAAACAACATCATCAAGTTGCAACCGACGCCTTATTGGTCTGGCGAAAACTGCATCGCAAACCCTTCGATAACATTAGAATGGAGCGATTTTCATGACGTGCTTTTTTCCCGATATACAATACGAAGTGTCGCAAACATGATGTCTCATATTCTCCTTGACGGCGTCACGATTGGTTCAGTGCACGTCGTTGCGGTTAGACTATACACACATCGCGGTTAGACTATACACACGGATCGATTGCACTATTTGGATACGAGGCGACGATGTTGTTTTCCATCATGGCCTGGCTGCTGTTCTTTGGCCCAGCGTACAAGTGCTTGGAAAACGAGTGGCGATCATGACGCTTCGAGCCATCTGCCAACCACTGCCCTGTGCCGTTGGTGTCGCAACATTTCGTTTTGGGACGCTGTTTGGTGCCAACAGGTTCAACCAACGCTTCAACTGGCGGCTATGTAATTACAGCGCTTCATGAGCTTGACATTCCACACGTCGCAGACAGGCTTGTATAGGAGAAAATACGTGCGTACCTTTTTCAGTTGTGCACCTGTTGAACAGTTCTACAGGTCCACAATCTGGGCCTTCTCATTTAGACCTGCTGAAACATTTTCCGGAATTGGACAGTACCTGCTACGGATGTATTGCGCCCGAGTCCTGGGCTGTTGTTTTTGTCAAGCGAGAATTCCGCCCTGTTCGCATCTTGCATGCGCATTTTGGCCTATATCTGCGGCGCCTGCCTCCCAATGGCATCATGCAACAACTCCTTCGGTGCACCTACGCATCTGCACTCTCTGCTGCTGCGCCGCCCCCCTGTCCTTTTTTTCCCCTCTCTCTTTTTTTTTTTTTTTTTCCCTTCCCTTTTTCCTACAAAACGGCCCGAGGGATGCTAGAGATGGTGGTGTTCATGAGAGAACATGCCGAGACATCACCGTCAGCATCTCTGGGTACTATACGATTCCTCGTATGCCTACAATTGGGAATACTGGTAGGTTGATTATATGAAGTGAAATTGCGTGGATAATACAGCTTAAAAAAAAAAAAAAAAAAAAAGGGCAGATGCTAGTGTGAGCAAACACCACTGGCGCTAAGCATTTCTCGTACGCCTGCACGCCAGACGCCTGCGACCGTCTTGCGCTGGTCGGCACTACGGGCTGCGAGCCCGCGGCCTCGCGGTGTGTCAGTTTGTGCGGCGAATGCCGCACGATGTCGTGCACCCGCCCGTTCGCCGGTCATGGAAAGTATTTTGTCAAAGAGTGCTGTTCATCTGTCGCACTTCTTCCATTGGCCTCCCTCCGTCTCCCTCTCTCCGCCTCATTCCCTTCGGAATCGGGATTGATAGTGATGATGCTCATGCATTCGCGGCTATGGTGACGAGGCGGAGGCGGCACCTTCACGTTCATGTACTTCGCCCCTAGCCTGCAGAACCGACTTCGCTTGCCATGGTTGTATATTTTTCTCTCACGTCGTCAGTTCTCCTCTGTGTAATCACGCTCTTTCCCGCTCGAGTGTCCCGCAGCCTATAGATCGGTGTGACATACCATCCACTTCCTTCCGCCGTCGTCACGGCATTGACGCGGCGGGAATTGTGCCACGCTCTGACGTCCGATCGATCACCCTTCTCTCTCTTTCAGGACATCTCGTTATCTGCCCTCTGTAGCCTCTGGAGCGTTCTCAAGTCCTTTCTCCATCTGCCTCGGCAATGCGCACCATCGGGATCGTAATTCGGAATTGGCCCGACATTATCGTGGCGGTGGAATGGCTGCGACCGTTGGAGGGAGGGCGTCAGCCGCACGCCGCCATCGCGATATCTTCATGACCCTGACTCTGCTCTCGAGAGATCGGCTACGACTTCGATCCAATTGCCAATGGCTTGATACCCAGTAATGGTAAGGTTTATAGTTCTTTGCAAGGAAATGTCAACGGCTGCAGGGATACGTTCTTGCTCGCTGCGTCATCTCCTTCCTCCTGCGGCTCGCTCAATCGAGTTTTGCCTTTTCTTATAAAGTACAATGCTCGCAATGGTTGTGTTATTCCCAACTCCCTGAGTAGATCGAGCGAGAGGGAGAGGTGGACGCAGCGGGAGAGGTGCGTATGAGGCGGAAGAGGAGTGGATGTGGCGGAAGATCAGCGGACGCGTACGAAGGAGAGGTTGAGAGACATGCGTCCGAGCTCGAGTGGGTGGCCGGTGATCGCTCGCAGACAGCGCAGAGAATCTGACGATAGCGGCTCGAAATCGCTGCCGAGTGCGGTTCATCTCCCTCTTACGGCGTGAAACGTTCTCTGTGGTGACGGATGGGAGATTCTGAGGGCTGGAAGGGAAGTGGGCGAGGGTGGAAAATTGTTGACGGGACGGGAATTGTTGACAGGCGGAGGAGAACTGCCCGCACGTCTGTCGCATGAAATGAACGCAGGGCGCCAAATGTGATTTTGCTGGGCGTCGACGCCAGGGGAGGGTAGAAAATTGTTGACGGGAAAGGAATTGTTGACAGGCGGAGGAGAGCTGCCCGCACGCGTCAGTCGCATGAAATGAACGTAGGGCGCCAAATGTGATTGTGCTGGGCGTCGACGCCAAGGGAAGTTCACTCAGCAAGTGATTAACGAGCCAGAAGATCTCCCGCAGCTGTGAGACGGCGGGGCGATCGACACGCCCACTGCCGCAGTCCATGCATGTAGAAATCGGAAAACGGGGTGCTTAGGCAACGACAAGCACGCAAGAGTGAGAGGCATCGGGCGCGCGCGCGCGCGCGCGAGAGAGAGAGAGAGAGAGAGAGAGAGAGAGAGAGAGAGAGAGAGAGAGAGAGAGAGAGAGAGAGAGAGAAGAAGCAGATTTGGTGTACGTGAGAGATCATGGCGAAATTTTCTTCGTGACCGGAAGATCGGCAGCGGAATTCCTTTGCGGCGCTGTCGCCGTGTTCGCTTACGCTCCGCCTTATATTCGCTTGAATGTTTGGGGCAAATAGGATCATTGGTTGTTTGCGATTGCAATCCTTTGTCGAAGCGAGGCGAGGGATGATACTATGTCCATTACCGTGCAGAGCGAACACGTAGGGTAGCGAAGGGACGAGGGTAATCGGAAGGAGATGGGGGTTGAGGAGCAATGGGAGGTAATAGCTGCAGGAGCGATGGGGGCAATCGATCCGTCTAAGACGGAAGTGACGACAACTGAAGTCGATCTTCCCTCGTTGAGAAGGATACCGATGCTTCCCTCCTCGTCGGACGGCTCGTCTGCATCTTCTTGTGCGCAGTGCTCATCTTCTGGTGGAGATTCCTCTGCGGCCGCAGAATGCCAGAGCTCTGCTTCCGTGGCCGCCATCGCCATGTCCTCGCCAAAGACAGAGGGGTGCCCGGTGCGGACGACCCATCGCCAAAAAGAGATCTTGACCGCCGTACCGCCAACTGCTTCTGTCCCGTCGTCGTGTTCCTCGTCTGCCACTGCGTCTTCTCCATCGCCAGCTTCACCATCGTGTGTGGTGCTGTCCTCCTCATCATCGTCCGTATCCAAGGATCGTTCTCCAGTCACTCTTGCTGTGCACGGATCGGAGGTGAATGTTTCCGGGAATATCGGCAACCCAGATCCAGTCGGGCGAGCAAGGAAGGAAAGAGTGGGAGCGATCAAAGAATGTCGATTTGAAGAAAATCGAGAGGCTCAGGGAGAGCCGCAACGTGAAATGCAGCTTGGAGAGGCGGGTGATATGGAAAGACGGACAGGACATCATCGTCAGCGTAGTGATGTTAGCCGGAAACTGAGTTTTAGCGAAGATTTTAGGGATCGTGACACAGTTGCTCGTCGCGATCTAGAACCGTCTGGCTGCGAGGCTGAAGTACCTTCGTCCTCGGCAGCTGCAGCCGATGTCATGGCTGGAGATGGCAGCGGCCATGGGGCTAGTAGACGGTCGTCCAATCGAGAGGTTATTGACGACAAGGAACTGGGAGGTACCCCAAGTCCGTCCTTGTCCTCGCAAGCGGCGCAATGCGATACTAATGGGGCAATTGGAGTAGGAGTAGGGGTAGGAGGAGGAGAGAGTAATGCGAGAGAGAGTTATAGGAGGAAAGAACGAGCTGAACCGACTGCTGCGATTGATGTTCTCGATGGCGTCGGGGAAGCGGAACGGCCAACAGCCGTCGATGTCCATAACGGCTCTGATATCCGAGTGTCAGAGATAGAGGAGGAGACAACAGCGGCAACAGCAGCGGCGGTATCAGCTTTGGGGTCAGCATGGTCAGCGGAAACAGCAGCAGACGGAAGAGTAGTGGTAGGAGGAGAAGGAGAAGATGAAAGTGGAGGGGGAGGAGGAAGAGGAGGGGGAGGAGAAGTGCGAATCGCCATAGACGACGAACAGCCGGCTCCAGAGGGAGTTGAAAATCGGGATGGAGACTGGGATGGCGCGCGAAATCGCAATCTCGGGTCTTCGGGCGCATCTTCAGAAGCTCGTGCGGACGGATTGAAGAGCTTGATGCCACCGATGGACGGGCACAATCGCGAGGAGGAGAAAGAAGGAAGCAACTGGGAGAGTGGGAAAGTCGGGGGCGTGCCTAGACGAGGGCTGTGGAGCAAATTGTTGAAGAAAAGGCGTGGACGGGAGGACACGATAGCTGGAGGAGGAGGAGAAAAAGGAGGAGCTGGTGGAAAGAAGGGAGGAAGTGATGACGCCAAACGCGCTGCGGATACGATGGAAATTGCGGTGCTCTCTACGATGACACGGACGGTAGGGAATGAAGATGTCCGAATTGTGCCCTTTTATCAACTGTTCAAGGCAAGTAAATATATCTTCGTCTACGTAGTCATCTGAACAGACCGCTGGGGAGTGGAGGGAACGTTGGGGGTGAAGAGAAAGCAGAGAACAAACGAGGGGAAGAGCCAAGCAGTGAAAAGGTCCCTCTTTCCAATCGACTGGAAGCATGATGAATCGTCATTCATGACGATTAAATGACGGATAATGTTATTTGCTGTGATTTTTGTTTTCGCTTTCCTCCCGACAAAAGGAATCAATGGTGTTAAATTGGATGAAGAAAAATGGAGTAATGATATTATTGAGTCGATCTGCTGCGCGTTCTCGTCAAGCAAATAAGCAAAAAGCTATATCAGAATTTTCAAAATTCGGTACTCTTGGCCTTTTTTCCCCTTTTTTCCCAAATTCGGACCCTCGCCCCCTTTCATCCGTAACCAAGCTGCTTTTTCTTCAGCTTCTTCCTCACTCCTTAACATATCGAGCTCCTTGTTGTTAGGCTTATAAGCTTTCCCTCCTTCCCTACTTCCTCCTCTCCCTCCTCAGTTACTCACCGACTGCCTGTGTGTGTCTGTCTCTCCCTGCTCTCTTCAGACCGCGCGCCGCAAATCCCCTTCCTTCTCCCTGCCCCCTCCGATGAAGCACAATTGGCTGACGGGAAAAAAACTGTTCGGAAAGGATTCAAAGAAATGAAAAACTGTTTGAAAAGGATCCAGTGAGAGGAAAAACTGTTTGAAAAGGATCCAAAAAGGGATCGAAAGTGATGTCTTGAAAGTGCGCTGAAGAAACTGATAGGCATAGCGAAGAACGTGTGCTGCCTGCCCTTTACCTGATTCGTTTCCAGTGTTTCCAGGACGAGTGGAAATCCAGAAACTTGACGCGTCATCCTCGTTAATTGATCACAAGCTCAATGTATCGTAGTCGATTGATCACAATCTCAAGGTATCGTAGTTAATTGGTCTAAACCTCAACGTATCCTAGTTGATCAGAATCTGAATGTATCTTCCAGGGAGCGTTGAGAGCGAGTTCCAAGTCTTTTCCTTTTTGTGTGTGGAACCTGCCAAGTTCGTTACATTTGCAAGAGATCGCTGGACGGAGATACACGGGGTAACCCTCCCGCAAATAGTACAGGGGGACCGATACTGTTCGCACGCGAGTAAAGATGCAGAACACGGCCTGGTTTGTTCTGTCTCGGGTGGAATTGAAGTACACTGGAATTTTCGTCGTCTTTGCTTGTGTGTGTGTGTGTGTGTGTGTGTGTGTGTGTGTGTGTGTGTGTGTG